TCAACGACGTCTTGCGTGAGTTCTCCAAGCAATGCACGCATGGTTCGAGGACTCAGCTCCGTCATTGGTTCGTAACGACTGTTACTGCTCTGATTTTGTCCATCTGTTCGTGGAGAGGCATGTTGCTCCTCATATCGCTCGATTACAGACTGGATTCCTCCCTGACTTGCTCCTTCCTTGTCGGATCTTTGAGGCATATTGTTTCACCCTTTTTCATTTTCAACACCTAACACCACTGTCCCACTGGGCGTGCCAAATTGTTTCGTGCGTGTTAATTCGCTAACAATTAAAGAGGATCAGACGATTGTGTAAGGGACGAAACCTCTTGAGACAAAGTCCCAAAAAGGGGGTGTTCTTTTTATTGGCGATGAACTTTACAATTGGAAACGGAAAACAACGTGCCTCCAAGGGGCGCAAGCACACGAGTTACAGAAAAGGAAGTGTTTAAGTCTAAAAGCTAAAGGAATGAAAATTACATATTCTTTGTTCGAGAGTTTTGGATTCGGTCCTTTGCTTCTAAGTTCTTTCTCCCTTTTATACTTCATAGGCGATCCCTTTGTGATTAACTGCTCTAAAAAACTGCTTGATCGCCCTATAACTACCCACTTTCTTTGTAGTGGCCATTTTGTCATGAAACTGTCCTTTTAACTGCTGTCATTATCTTGCATCGTTCAACCGCTTTCGATTGAATCCCTTGAGTCGTGGAACGTGATAAGGTTACTTTAGCAACTGCCTCAATAACTGCATTTCTTGATAATCATAATGCGTTATGTTTGTTGATACCTTGGGCGACTTGAAGATTTGGGCGAGACTCTGGGCGACCGTATGCCACTCTATTCGTTCAGATTATGAGCGACTTGCAAACTTGGGCGATGGCGTTACCGCACTATTGGGCCCCTTATTTGGGCATTCACCTTGATTCGTTCAATTGGATTTCGTTCTTTGGGCTATCTGATTTGGGGATCCTCCAATTGGGCTTTACTCTCTGGGCTGTTCGATTCGGGCTGAATTTTTATGTGTCAACACATTCTAAGAATACATGCGGTGAAATCGATATCTAAGTGTTTGTTTGGTATTGTTTATTTGAAAATTATTTTTCATTAAACTCATTTTTAATTCTATATTATCTCAAAAAATATTTTGCTCACCAATCCGTAATTTTTTCCATTTTTAACAACACGTGCTTAAAAAAAAAAGAATCATTTTCAATTCAAATAATCCGGGCTGAATTTTTATGTGTCAACACATTCTAAGAATACATGCGGTGAAATCGATATCTAAGTGTTTGTTTGGTATTGTTTATTTGAAAATTATTTTTCATTAAACTCATTTTTAATTCTATATTATCTCAAAAAATATTTTGCTCACCAATCCGTAATTTTTTCCATTTTTAACAACACGTGCTTAAAAAAAAAAGAATCATTTTCAATTCAAATAATCTCTCTTCCAAACAAACACACCCATGTTTGACCTCCATTTTTCAAAATTTATTTTTCTCAAACTCGTTTCATTTCCTGCTGTCCATGACTTCTATCAACATTTCACTGCACATTTCAATAAAAATTTTAATTAAAATCTACTAAAAATTTAAGACTCCGTTTGTTTCCCATTTTCGTAAATATAGGAATGAAAAATATAATCGTTATGAACCCCATACAAAAAATAGAAATTCAAATTTGATGATTTGATGTGATAAATAATGATAAGTGAAAATAATAGAAAACAAATAGGGGCTAAATTTCATTAAAAACATTGTCATTGCTGTTACCATTGCATGCCGAAGGTTCGTGGTCTATCCGTCACATGCAGGACAGATAATACGTTTGATGGCGACAAAATTTAGACAATATCTCCGCCCCACGCCACCACCACCACCACCACCACCACCGACCGACAAACACTGTCCACAAAAAATAATAATAATAATAATAATACTAATAAATAATATTATTTTATTTTATTGAACTTTATTAGATGTCCTTAATCATTGTTTAGATATGTCTAATTTGGACAAACGTGGTAGAAATCGTCATCGTTGTCCATTATGTAATAAAATATTGCCTTGATCACATGAATTTACCGACTATTTCAAAGAAATTCATTCACCAAATGAAGAAACGACAAAAGCAAAGATTCTCAGATCCAATTGCAGGTTCAGTAAGTAGGACGATTACATAATTTCAATGATTATAATTAAAAAATCGTCAATAACCCAATTTTCAATAAGTAATTACAGGGAATAGAGAGCATAAAACGAAACTTTGAATTGCAGTTAGTTCAAGTGTTCAACGTTCAAGCTCGCGAAAAATGTCAAACTGAACAAAACGGAAGAACTAACAAAACAAAGAATTACAAACATTTGTGGCTACACCTAATGACAGACAGAAGAAACAACTAAGAACAGAAGAGCATGAACAGAATTTTGAAAAGAAGTGAAAATCAAATGCTCGACTAAGGCTCCAGATGTGTCACGAGTAGGGACTGCTTTTTGTACTACATTCAGGCACATTTCGCTCCATTTGATTCACACTTCACATGCTTAAAATACTTTCCAGCTGTGACAAAGAAATCTTAGCTTATCTCCATCATGACTCCACTTGTCTCTGCATTACAATTGTGGCTGGGAGTGAGTTCGATCCTGAGAACCAATTTTCGTCATGTCCCTGCTTGATCTGTTGTATTTCATGTGACTTTTGACAAGTTGGCCAGCTGCAATGGCAGACATTAAAGAGAGTTCCCCAGCCAAGACAGAACCAGCAACTATGGTGGCCAGGAGCTGGGAATTCGACCCTGGTGATTCTTTGTTCGTACCTTTTACGCCAAGCAAGTTGAGGCAAGCAGATTGTGATGCTAATTGGGTTCCACCTCCAACAGTGCCAACCTGGAAATAACAAACAACGATGATCAAGAATGGTGCAACAATTATGAACATAAACAAATGTTAGTGCACGCTTCTGCATCATGACAGATTTCTGAAGTAAATGAAAATGTAAATTTCAATGATTGCTGTAGGTAGACAAGAAATTCCAAAAGAGAGCTATCTAAGCATTTGTTGATTTTGGAAGGAAATTCCTTTGCACTATTCAGTTACATCCCGTTGAAGAAAACCAATAAATGTAATAACAAAAGTGCTTATGTCAAAGAAATAAAGATTGTTTGGAATGTTTAATACCTCGATGGAAGGCATTGTGACAGATATGTGAAGATCGTTACCATTGTTGACAGCCTCCATCATCGTGATGCAGTGAGAACTTTCTATATTTTGTGCTGGATCCTGCCCAGTGGCTATGTAAATAGCAGAGACAATATTGGCAGCATGAGCATTAAAGCCACCAAGAGCACCAGCAACAGCAGAGCCAGTAAGGTTCTTGAGCATGTTGAGCTCAACGAGGGCAGGAACCGTGGTTTTTAATACCTTTGTCACCACATCTCGAGTAATGATAGCTTCGCAGACAACTGACTTTCCACGACCTTCAATCCAATTGACAGCAGCGGGTTTCTTATCAGAACAGAAATTCCCTGAACCATGAAAGACAAATTAAAGGTGAATTCCAAGTTTCCAACATGGAACCATCAAACTAAGTCCCTGTCATCTGCAGTTAATTTTGGTCAGTGAAAGCAGGAACCAAACCACCCTCTCATAAGAGGTGAATATAACAAGCAACACAATACAAACAATAACGTGCAAGAAACATGACAGCATTTCTTGCATCAAAGATAATAATCATATAGATATTATCCTAAGAAAAGATACAGCATGATAACACGCAATGGTCTAACAAACAAACTCATTATAAGGCAAGAAACAGATTTCAATCTCTATTCAGCCGTTTAGTGCTAATAATTGTCACCTAGCAGATAGAGTTACAATCCAGAAGAAATATCCGAGTGTGTGCAACCTCCAAAAGTAAAGAACACTTAAGCGAAATTTCAGAAATAATTAAGCAATAAGGGCGGTAGTACTAACCTGATATACCAATAACATCCATATCGGGAAAGTCACTTTCAAGGAAGTCCAGTACATTTTGTACACCTTTAGAAACCATGTTCATCCCCATGGCATCACCGGTGCTGCAGCTAAATCTAATGTATAGATTTTTACCCGCAATAGCACATTTGATAGCTTGAAGTCTAGCAAATCTACTTGACCTGGAAATATTAACAAAAAATGATAAATGAAGAAATCAAATAAAGAAATTTGTTTTAATATAATACAATTTAGAAAAATCAGCGTAGCATGATTATCCAAAACAGTTATCAAATTAAAATAAAAGTGTCCAAAAAAATATAATATTTTATCAAAAAAAATAAATAATCCCTGGGAAAATAAAAGCGGAAAGATTACGACCAATAACTTGGCAAAGGTTTGAATCTGAAAAATACTCAAATAAGTTGGGAAACGAACAATATACCATCAGACAGGGTCACAGGGATATAATTGATTACAAATATCTGAAAATAATTCGGTATTGAATTCACCTATTCAACAAATCCCAGAATCTGATACACTTACCAGAGTCATGCGAAACACTACACCAGTCAACATCGTCGTTGTTCAAATTCAAACAAAATAAATGTCAATTATTCAACAAGCGTTTATGGCGACAATTCGAATAGTTGACCGCTCAGCAGAAAAACTCACATTCCATTCAGAGTCCAGATAATTCAAAAATTTCAGGAAAAAAAAATTGAAAATAAAAAAAGAAGCTTACTTGTTGAAAACGACAGATAACGTATCAAAATTGAGAGGGTCCTCCAGGAAGAACTTCAATTCTGTTGCTCTTTTCGCGGAGGCGAACCTCACCACTGGAGCTCTGGTCATGGCATCTCGGAGAAGCACACACGTGGCACCACCAGATGCATAGATGGCCTTGCAACCCCTGTTGGTGCTAGCAACCAAGCAGCCTTCCGTGGTGGCCATTGGCACTGAGTACTCGCAACCATTAAGCAAAAGTGGTCCCGCAATTCCTACAGGAATCTGCACGTATCCCACTGGCATCTCGCAGCACTGCCCCAAAATTGAATCATAATCGAACCCTTCTAACGGCAATCCCTCTAGAGATCTACCCACCAGCCTCTGGACCGCGTCGCGACGGATTTTAGCCGCTCTAAAGCAGTCCCCAAGCTTTGATTCCAAAGAATAAGAAGGAACTTCCCCCGAAACAACAGATTTAACGAGCTCTTCATCATCTTGCGAGACCAAGGGAGTAGTGGGAAGGTCCATTAATCTAGGTTTGGCAGAAACAGATGACGGCAAAGGACAATGAATGCTTCGATCTTCGTTCACAATGAAGCGCTGTTCGTCGTCGTTTTCAAGATCCCATGCCGAATTACGCGAAATGATGGATTGAACAAAGTCAATTCCAAAGAAACCTAAAAGGTAAATGAATGACGCTATTAGCGTAACAATGGCGGCAAGCTCAGAGAGCGTAACAACGTGAAGCGGAATAGATGTACGGATCTTGTCGCGCCACCGGTGGAGAAGAAAATAGGCGACGGAGAAGAAAAGCGTGAAGAAAATGCCGTTAGTTAGGTATAGCGGAAGGGGGAGGGCGTCGGAGGCTTTCGGAGACCGCTGATCGACGGCGTCTTCAGCTGAGGAGGCGGCGGAAGGAGGAGGAGTAATAGCCTTATGCTTTTGATTGTGTTGAGAATGAGAGGGTAAGGGAGGCCTCCGGCGAATGTCCATATTCTTCCGATTGCAGGTTAGAGAGAGAAATGAGGAATATGAGAGGTGTATAGAGAGACAGGAAGAAGAGAGAAATTAAAATAAAAAATGGAAAATGTTTTTATCCTCCTATTTTCAAACCGAATAGAAATGCGATGATTTCGGTTATATGGAAAGTTTATATATACTGTAGGATTGGGTTGGTTTTGCCTGGGTTGCTGGGGTAAGAGGGCGTGGGGTGACACGGGATGTAGGGTTTATAATATGAATTGATGTTCTTGCCAAATATTAAGTCCCCAACAATCATTTGTAATAAGAAATTCGGAAAAAATGTATTCTAAAATGGTAGTTTTTGAGAGAATGTATAATTAAAAATGAAAAAATATATATATTTTTATTTACGTGTATTTTTTTTTATTGAAATGCATGATTTAAAAAAAGAGAGAAAAATTGTATTAAAATTTTAAAAGGAATCAAACAAGGAATAATTGTCATTAAATAAAATATATAATTAAATTAATCATATAAATTTCACTTTTAATTGAGCATATCACATAATGCTTGTGTTCTAGCATCACTAATATTTCAACACCAATTTATGATGCACCAAGTATCATTAAGTTAAGAATACAGTTAGATTAATCACATAATTTCATTTTTGTTGTAAATATAGTAGTTTTATGAATGAATTTTGTACTCTTATAGTTCTATTCATTATAATTGTTGTATACTTTATAACTATAATTCTTCCCTATAAATATGCGATTTTGATTCTTAATAAAATACATAAATTTATTGCCTTCTTTCTTTTGTTCATTGTTTTTCTTTCTAGTTTATAACTCGTTATTAGTACGATTCTCTCAAAATCAAAGTAACTTAGTTAGAAGCTAATAATTTTTATAAGCATAATCATTTGTTATGTTTACCAAATTTAATTTTGTTAATTTTGTGACATGTAAATTCTTTCGATGTACATATGCATCATAATGAATTTGTTTCTTTTTTTTCCTTTTTACTTTTCATTTGTATGCAAATTAATTCTAACTTACGTTTGTATGTGTAATTTGTACACTTATTAATTTGTGATTTATTAAGTAAATTATGATTTACCATTAATTTTGCCTTTTGATTCTGCAACATATTAGTTCCGCCTTTAATTTTACTTTTAATTTCTGTATATATGGATTAACGTGCATGTCTTTTATATGTTGGTAAAATAGGATAGCAATCCATATGTCGATTAGGATGAGCTTTTACGTAAAAATTCTTATATAGGAAGACCAAGATATAAAAAACAAAATAAAAATAAAGGCATGCTGAAATATATAACTCCTAAGCTGTGGGAAGAATTTCTTCTTAAGGGCGCACAAGGCATTCTTGTTGTGTTGGCATATCGGCTTACAGAGTGAATCGGAGTTTGGGATCGCCTAGAATGTTTGTTCTAACTCTGTTAGGGAATTACAGAGAAAGTTGACTTAAACGAGTTAGGTCTGGCTAAGAACAAGTTCATGTTGGTCCTTTGGTCGCTAAGAAGCTATTAAACTCAGTAGTTCCACACCCACAATCTCATCTAGCTGGATCATTGTAAGAAGGATGGAACGAATCATCGCTTGAGGCCTCAAACCAGAGAGTGGAGGTTTTCTCAACCTTTTTTGGTTGAATGAATTGGAGAGCTTGCTAGCAAACCATAAAATCCTAGCTAAGCGGATGGCTGGTGTCTAAGATAAAGCTTCACTCAGAAGGGCAGGACATCCAAAAAACATAAGAAGGTTTGAACATGAAGTGTAGTCAATAAAAGATTTAATCAATTTTGTTAACTTTTATATATGAAGATTCTTTTCCTAATGCATGTTTGGTAATTAAATTTTTATTTATAAAGACATATCCTATCTCTTTGATAATTAATTTTTATATTATATTCTGTTTGTATGGTAATTAATATTTTTAACTTGACTAAATATTTTTAGATGTTGTTTTATAAATTTTAAATTGATAATCCATCATGTTGTTGCTCCTAAAATAACACAAAATTATAATCAATATTTCAAAAGAATATTATTTTCTCCTGAAAAGCATAAATTATAATTTTCATTATTCCAGAAAAATATTAACATTTTGCTCATGAAGAACACGACTTGTAAATATTATATTCTCATTGAAAATTTACTCCTGAAGAGTTAATGTTTTTTAAATAATAATATGTTATTGCTATTGAAGTAGCACACTACTATTTATATTTTAGTTATATTTTACTTGCTCCCAACGAGCAGAATTAAAAAATATGTTTTTACTCTGAATATTAATTTTTTATACAATTTATTATTTAAAATAATAATATATTATTATTCCTAAAGGACATGACACCATAATTTCAATATTTCGGAAGAATATTGATACATTGTTTCTTGAAGAAGCGATATTAAAATACTATGTGCTCTCGAAGTAGCACATGCTTAGAAAAATATATGATTTTAAATCAGTGTCTATCCTTAAATAAAAGCATAAAACTTATGTTAAATAGTTAATCATGCTTTGGAGAATTAACTATTCTTTTGTTTGATTAAATAGTTATTCAAATTTGAAATATTGTATTGAACCAAAAGATCAATTACTGAATATATCATTTTTGGCATAACAGTTGGACTATCATTGGATCAATGATGATGCGAAATTAAAAATTTAAAACGAATATTCAATGAAGTGCCAGGAAATTCTTCAATTTAATGAATTCTTATATATTATTTGTTCTCTTTATCGACAATTGATCATTAAACATCATTAGATAGGAATTGAATTCTCTACATTTTTGAAAACTAATTAGGGTGATATATATGGTCCTATCTTCCTCCACATTTACTATGTAAATATTATTTGTACATAATAGATTTGATAGAAATACAAGATGATTGCATGGTGTTCGCAACTTAAAATTTAATAAATTACTGCTTAAATTATGAGCATAATTTTTACATTATACTGTAAAAATGGTATGCCTTATTAATACTAGTGTTCTTAAATCTCAACCATTTATAGGTGTTAGCTGAGATGTCAATAAATGATTTGACATTATTATTTGTTAAATACCTCCAATTAATTTAATTGAGAGCAAAGTATCTCTCATTTTCCATTTAGGGAATATTATTATGCATCATGTCAATATCATAGTTCTCTCTAATATAATTGACTTATGTTCATAATCTAATTTTTTCATCTTCTTGTTATGATAGTGCAGTATATATAAAATTTATTTCGACCATAATGTACTAAAATAGAAAGTATACAATGCGGAGAATAAATGAGTAGTTTGAATCCTTATATAATATCTCAAGCAATATAAGACAATATTTAATAAAATTATTTGCTGATTATCAACTTGATTAGATAATTCTCTCAATATTAGGGTCAGAGATTAAGAAATTGAAAATAATCAACAAATGTATTATTATTATCTAAATCTTCGCAAAAGATAATTCAAACCAAAAGATCGAAAGATAACATATTTAGAAGCATTTATCGATCAAAGAGATCAACAATATCTCATATACCAGTTTTAAATGCTCTAACTTAAATTAATGCCCTAAAGGACAATTAATTAATAGTATATTCGATAAATTTATGGCACATCTGAATCGTGATGTATTTGATTATAATATAAAAATCTCCAAACGAACATAGAGCAATTAGTAACGATGGTCTCATTAATGAGGCATATACTTTTGATAAGTATTTAAACCCCGGAAGAGGTTCGGATACTTGATATATTAAAAATTGAGATATTATAAGTTATGTCATTGTGAAAAAATAAATAGAATAACAAAAGAAGAAAAAATTGTCGACAATACTTTTGCACATGATATATTGCATAATAATATATGACTAGCAAGAAATCGAAATAAATTCGTCAGAAAAATATCGATCGAAGTAATGATTGGTCAAATAAAAAGGCGTGATCACACTGGTCAAATAAAAAGGCGTGATCATACTGCAACTGATTTTACTAGAGAAACCTAAAATTTTTAAACTAATCCTAGTAAAATTGAACTTACTAAAGAAACTTGAAATTTTTGGATCTACAGTTTGAGCACCTAAAGGTATATATTTATGTGAAATGAAAATAAAAAAGTAATAGTAATATGAAATATACAACTCTTTACATAATGAATTTCGCAAAGATTTGTATAAATAGATAAGTTATCATATAGTGAATATAATCACAAACCTCTACCTTGTTAGTGTGACAATGCATGAAATTCAATATATTGTATTCAACTTATCTTATATAAATTTAATACTATTTTTGAAGAATTTAGTATTTTTGAAACATAGTTTAAGTGATATTATCACGATGGGGAGTAAATACTCTTTGTATTATTTTTCCCTCGATCAAGGTTTTGTCCATTAGATTTTCCTAGCAATGTTTTTAATGGGACAACTTTTGTGACATATTTAAAAGAATAATGTATTCTTTTTTCTTCATTAGGATTTTTCCTGCAGCATTTTTCCTAATAAAGTTTCAATGAAGTCCATAACATATAAGACATTTACCTTCATAATAACTCTTATATGCAAAATTTTCGAAAAGATCAACAAGAGTTATTTTATTATTTCAAATTGCTTGTACTTTTTTTTTTTTTATTTGTTGGCATTTTTGTCCCCTCGAGTTTTTTGTTAAACAAGGTTCCAATGAGATTGTTATTGTGTGAATAGTCATTCAAGGGGAGTGTTGTAAAATATAGTAGTTTTTATGAATGACTTACATATCTCTGCAACCCTAGTCATTATGACTTGTATATCTTGTAGCCCTTACTCTTCCTTATAAATATGGACCATTAGTTCTTAATAAACACAAGTTTATTGGCTTCTATCTTCTTCTTCCTTTTTTTTTTTCTAGTTCACGATAACTTTTAATTATTAAACATTGATTGTCCAATATACTGTGCACTAGTATAATTGATGCTAAATTTATCATCACTGATATTATAATATCAATTTAAATAATATTAAGTGTCATTAAATGAAATGTACAATTAAATGAAACATATAATCTCATTTTTAATTTAACTTATTACATATTACCACATAGGCCAATGTTCTGGCACAACTAGTGCTAGCATTATTCAATTTAGAATATAATGTCATTAGGCAA